TCTGGGCGCTCAAGTGCATTTATCACATATTTAAAACAAACTCGAGCTCAGCTAAGCCCAATTATAATATCTCGCTGGGCAGAGAAATTAATTAAACAGCTGAATGATAAAGACCCCAGCAGCAAACTGAGGGGTTTTTTCCCTTTAAGAAGAAGGGAAAGAAAGAAACCTGTAACACACATGTTCAAACAGTAACGTAAGCAATCTTTTCAGGAGTGCAAATAAGGCTACCTGGCAGGAGAACTCGGTGGTGGCTCTAATGTGGCTCTGCCAACTTTCTGATTTGCTAATGTGCAACACACAACAGCCCTTTTGCACCAACTTCAAATAGCCCTGGGATCCCAGCAGTGCAGCTCGGCGACAACCAGAAAAAGGGCAGAACTTGTCAGGATTTAAGAGCTTTCAGCAAAACCCTTCAATTGCAGCCGGTACCCTATTCCATAGAAGGATATCAATTATAGATAGTGACTTGCTTTAGCAGGGCAGTCGGCACTGTCAGACACTAGATAGACAACCATGAAGAATCATGAATCTTTCTATTAACTGTAAGAGAAGGGGGGCAGGGGAGAAAGGATGGATAGGTGCTATAAATAAGGCAGAGCGTCTGAATGCTTTAATACCTTGCCTTTTGGTGTATGTATCATGAAAATTTAACCACCCTGAATTCTAAGCACATATTGCTTGAAAATAAGAGTTCTGGCACCAAAATCATTTTGGTGTCAAACCCTTCTGGGTGGGTCAATAGCGATTCTTTTATGTAGCTTTTCAGTTATTTATTCATAGCAGCCTTAGTTCTGTTCATAAATTCAGTCAGAAAACATTGTCTCTTGGGGCCTAAGTACATTTTCACTAGCGCCCACATTTACACTAGTAACAGGAGCACTTTGCTACCAAAAGTGATGCAGAAAAATGCCATCACATGTTGACGATTGCGCTCAAGACCGTAATTTCTTCTCTAAAGCTATACCACATATTCAGGCACAGATGATGATCATATTTACCATTTCATACTGCTGTAACACACATCATTTTGTAATGCAGATATTGCTAGAATCTGATTCACTCTGCTCAACCTGGCACAAATAGAATTCATGCTGAGGTACCTAACACTTTAGGAAACAAAAATAGAAACATACTTCCACCTTTACCCTAAATGCTGCAATTCCTCTAAAATCCCAGTCCTTTAGGATGCAAGACTTAGATAAAAGTCTGTTCTGTGTCATTAGATGTTTTGGGTATGATATTCTACTATTATTCATGGCTACAAACAGTAGTTTTATTCCCCTGAAAAATAAAAAAACCCAACCACACATTCATTAAGAGACTTACTGCTGGCCACTGTAGATCCTGAAAATTTTAGCCTTACCAGGAGGTAAAAGGATGCTTTTTAGGTCTTTTTTTCTGACATTTGGTATTTTACAAATTTCCTCTTCCCAGCTGAACTTCCAAAGCCCAAGGAAATGGTTTACAGAGTTGTACAGGCGTAAGCATACTCCAAATACTTCCAACTCAAATACACAAGTACATTTTCCTTTCTACAGAGTCTATGCTACACACCACATGCTCAATTAAGTGGGTTACAGGGAAGGAGTTCCTTGCAATACATTGGGATGGTCTACATAGCCCCTAACTCTTACTTTCACTGTACAGCTCACTTTACTGCCCACAGCATGGACAAGCAGGGATGTGTATACAATATGATGTAGTTATTGTGTGTCGTGCTGTAACACCCACCCAACTTCTGAGCATGTGACTGCAGCTCTCTGCTCATGCTGATCACCCTTTCTGACTGACAGAGAAAACAGGAAAGTAGGCAGATGTTATCTGGATCAGTCTTGATAGGGCCATTTAAACCTTTATTGCCTTTATCTATGCAGTTGCCCTTGCCTTGATGATAACTATCCAATGGCAGAATCAACAAAAATGAACAGTTACCTTTACTTTTGGTATCACAGAATCATAGAATAGTTAAGGTTGGAAAGGACCTTAAGGTCATCGAGTTCCAACCCCCCTGCCATGGGCAGGGACACCTTGCTCTAACCCATATCACCCAAGGCCTCGTCCAACCTGGCCTTGAACACTCCCAGATGACAATCCAGTATCTTACCTCAAAAGCCCCTTCAAGCTTGGCTAGAGCAACTGAGGCTCTGCTGAGCGCACTTGCAGGTTGGGAATCACCTGAGCAGCAGTGTGCATAGCCAGGACAGGCAACATGGCAGAGCTCTACTGCAAGGCTTGAAGGTTAATACCTTCCTACCTGTACACAACTGAGCTCAAGTGCCTCCAGACAGCGTTGAACAGCCTGATGTATATGGCTCTGAAGCTGCAGGGTGAAGACCTCATGCCAACAGCAGGGTCTTTTCTGCCCTGATATGAGCAGTGCCTAGCACCATGGGGCTTTGGTCTTGGCAAGGCTTCCAGCTGCTACTGCAGTGTAAATATTAGTGAGTAAAGGACGTACTCATGCCACTGAGGCACACACTCTCTGTGCCTAGTGCAGATGCACGTATGTACACAGCAAGCCAGGAACCCATCCAGTACAAAGACACTGAGGTAAGCACAGTTACAGCATTGGCATCTACTCGGATTTACCCACCTGTATATGGGTAGGAGGCATACACAAGCCACATCAGTGGAGAGATTTTCAAATACCAAACTGCTGCCTAGGGAATGACTGCTTTCTGCTGGAGTCACACATCTAAGCAAGGCCAGAATGCCCTCCTGTGAAGCCCTACCAAGATGTGGGCTTCTTTTCCCTACTTGCTGCAGGTCTACATCAGAGGGCTGTGGCAATCAAGGGCAGAAAAAATGTGGGAGAGACAGACTGGGGTGAAGGGCCAGACTCTCAAACAGAGTTCGATGTCTAAAGCCCTTTGCAATTCTGGACAGAAATAACTTGCTCAAGTCCCCACAGCAGGGCTCTGTCAGAACAGCAAAAGAAATCACAGACCACGGCCCCATCACCGAGTCACACTGGCTCTTACAGAGTGATTTGTGCTACTTGAAAGTGATGGTTGCAATGATGAATTCATTGTCTTCAGGGTATCGAGTCAGAACTTGCACCTTGTAATCTTAAATGCCATCATAACATATCTGAATCCTGAGCCCGGCCAAAAAGAGCTCCTTGGATCACAGAAATATTTTTTATATCCCTTTTTTTATGTCTAGAGAAACCCATTTCAGATGTTGCCGTTGTTCAGAAATATAAGACATTGAATTTTTTTCAGGAGTCTTGCTGCTGACCCTTATAATAGTCAGATTTGCTATAAAATCACACCAGAAACAACAAACACATTTAAAACCCTCTACAACCAACCAAACTATCACACTGTCAATTTAAGTCACTTTAAGCTACAAAACACTAGCTATTAGCTAACAGGCACAGTGGAATTCAATCATATTTTTAATCTGAAACATCACAAAACCCTCTTCCTTTTTTTTTTATTACCAAGGACACCATTATTCTGGATTTCTCTTTTATTTCATATATTTTGCTGTAAATTGTTTATCATCATCACAGATCATTTCTGAACATTGAGAAAGCTTTGCCAGGCACCATAAAGCTTCAGCCCTACAACTATTAGCAGATACCAAGACTGTGCCTGTGCAGAGCCCCAGATCATGTCAGTTGGTCTGTTTGCATGGAATCAATAGCAGGGCAAACACTTGATCTTATGTGTCCAAGCCTTTGCAGCAGCTATTCCTATGGCATTTTTTCCCAAAAAGATGTTGTGACACCAAAAGAGTCTCTCCTCACGTCATTTTCACCTATTAAAATGTTAGGGAATTATTTGTGCAAAATATGTTCAAAGGATTCTTTTAAAATGCCACATTTGTGCCATTACTTTTTTATAGTCTTTCATTTATTATTATTATTGTTGTTACTGTTACTACTATTACCTAATAATAACAAGGAACTAAAACCACATCTTGATGAATAACTGCAACACCAAGCGGCTCTCCCATTCCAGCAAGCGAAAGCTGGCATTGCTTTACTAAAGTCAGCTTTGCAGCACCAGTTTGCCACTTTTCATAGGGTTTGGAAAAACATGGTGAGGTTTTTTTAATTTATTTTGTGTGGAAATGTACATTTTTCAAGAACCTATTTCAGCAGCACCGGCCACATTCTGCAATATGTTTTGCATGATCTCAGGAAATTATTGAACAGTTTTCTACACTACATACAATTCTGATGCACTGATATTTGCTGAAGATGTTCCTCTCTAATCTGTGCTAGTAATTCCTTTTTTTTTCATAGCATTTGATATATTCCATGATACCAGTAATTAAAAGAGGTAGCTAAGGAGGTTGGAAATGTGGAGGGGATTGTACTTGCCAGGTTGTAGTCTAGCTTTTGGTTGTTCCTTTTCCAGCTTACAACACTACAGGTCAGTAAAAATAATTTCTTTTACAAGAGGGAGCAGAAAGGAATAAAAAGCAAGGCACATACAACTAATATTTGGTTTAGCATAAAAAAGACCATATAGTTTGATGTTGCTAAAAAGACTGAAATAACTCAGTCTCCATGTATTTAGCCAAATAATCCCCTTCGGTTTACACACAACAGTAAATTGATACCAAACTCTCCCCTTAGGGAAGGGGAAGAATTCCCCTCACCCATTTCTACTGTTACATTCCCTTTGGGGAGGGAAGAAAAAAATCAAACTTGGCTAAAGGTTAATAATCATTCATGTCCAGCTTACTATTACTCAATAACTATCAAAGTCTCTAACTCAAAATAGCGTTTGCTGGCTTACAGGATCAGAGCCATTACAATCTCTGTTGAAGACTTTATTGAATTTTACACTAAGCTTTAGCTGACTGCACAGGTCAAGCACTGTGGCTCTGAGTTTTCTTTATTCCCAGAAACTCATAAACCCCTCTCCAGTTTGCAGCGCTGTTAGCTAAGAAACTTGACTCAGCACAGGGTCAGAGAACCCGACCCTCATGAAAAAGGTCACGTAGTTTTAAAACCCAGTTCCTGAATACCATTAACTTACATGCACTAGCTGTTCCTGCGTGTCAAACTCCCGGGAACAGCCTTCCCAGTGGCAGTTTGTCTCGTAGACCACTTCAGGTTCCTGTTTGCTTTCATCTTTGTCCCCTTCCTCTTTTACCAGGGTCATTCCTTCTGGCTGTTCCTGGAGAGAGTTAAAAAAACAGGGGTGAGGAAAGAGGATATTCTGAAACTGAAAATGAAGAAAAGTGAATTACTTCAGCATTAGAAGAAAGATGATGGGGGGTAGGGGGGATTATTTTACTCTGGTTCACGGTTAGTCCATTCTAAGCTCAAAACAGGCCTGGTAAGGCAGAACCCATTTGCAGACTACACGTGTACAATCAATTTTTGCTCCCTTGAAGTACTCACTGCAGAGAGTTTCTAAAAGAAATAATTCCTTTATATTTCAATTAAAATCAAATCATAAAGGCTTGGCTTCCCCCTCCCTATATTTACGCAGCCTGTTACTTGTACGCTTGTCCGTTACTATTCAGTGGTGCCATTGATGAAAAAGGCATTATTCATTATAGCTGAATTAATTGGAATTTGACTTTAGTACTAGGATTGGACACAAACTAGACCCACCAGTAATCCACAGCTAATCGAGTGATAGTTTGCACACTAAAACTTTTCCAAGAGCAGACCAGTAACTTTCAGGCTATTTGTTAGTCTGTTCTTGACCATAATATGTACATGAAAGGGGTGAGTGGGGAAAGAAAGCATTGAATTTGGCTTTTGACTTTCCACCTTTAGTTCCTCAAGGTGCCTCATTCTCCCCAGCTTGTTACTTGCTGAGGGCAAGAGTCAGATGTTAGCATCAGCATTTGGTTCAGATTATGCACTCATACTATTTTTCCATTTCAAACCTGCTGAAGGATTTAGGCAGACCTCTGCTTTGTTTTCATTTATTCACTCACAAGACTGAGGCTCTGATTCTCATCTCCCCTGAGTCCACTGTAAATCAGAAGGCACTCTACTAAAACCAGTGGCATTAACTGGTATAGAAAGTATAGCAAATGAGGCCGGAGCCTGACACCAAGGCTTCAGTGCAGCACAGTGCTAAGACCTGGCAAAAGTCAAGGCAGAGTAGGTATTTTTGCTGGACAGAAAATATCCTCAATAAAGACCCGAATGTCTCTTTCCCACAGAAGAGGGCTGAGACTGATCAGAGGCACATCTCCATCAGCCTCCTTCCTCTCTGCCCTTATTCTGCAACAGATCCTGCACCCCAGCAGCCTTTCATTGCTCCCATGTAACCCTTGCTACCCTAAGCTGGGGTGTCTGTGTGTGTATGAAGGGCCATACTAGTGCAGGAGCATGTGCCACAAGCAAGGTGCATTTTCCCTCTGACAGTGAGATGAAAGGCTTATGACTGTAACGTGATGGCCATACCTGCACGCTTCCTGCTCCTGGGCTGGGGAGGTCCTCGTCGGGCTTTATCTTGGAGCGCTTGTTGTGCATGGGATCTCCAGTGCTGCTCACTGCAGATTCGCTTGTGGGTTTATTCTGCTGCAGGCAGTTGTTCGGTTGTTTTGGGTTTTTTTTTCCCCAAAAGACAAAATTAGACTGTGATAAATAAGTAGCTCCAAACAAAAGATATGCAGCATCTGCTCAGCAACTTTATTTGGAGAAGCTACACTGTTAATTATACTGGATATGCAATTACATTGTGCTTCAATTACATAGCATTAACTTGTGGAAGAGCTGCATCACTCAACCTTGTAATGGAGCAGGGAGGAAACAGAAAGAGGTAATTCCTTGCTACAAACCAATGCTGGTTTTGTCAGGCCAGAGAGGGGTAGGAAGAACTTAAGAACGGCAGTTCTGAAGAGTAAAATCACTGTGTGCTCAATTCAAATGAACACAATTTATTTTTTCACACTTGGAGGCAAGTTTCTGCACTTAACATCTGCACACAAGAGCTCAGCTCTTTCACTGTGTTTCCCATTACAATGGTGGGATAGGAAACAAAACTGAATACTGTGAGGCTCAGCCAAAATATCCCAGATGAAGTCCTGGACTCTCCCCAGTCAATAGCAGAACTACTGCTGACAGAAACAGGCCAGAATCTTGGTTTTCTCTTGCTGTGCTAGACTGACCACCATTATCTACACCTGTAAATGGATCTTGTAGGAATCCAGAGATCTTTTAGAGATATCTGAACTTGCACGGACCCCACAAAAAAATCAGTACGCTTCCTACAGCAGCATGTTCTGCTTCTACATTTGTAAAAGCTAGCCAGGAGATAAACAGCTCAAAGACTGATAAGTAACCTATCCCAAGTCATCTGGAAACAAACAGCACTGGTTAATAACAGGCAAGCCACGAACAGTGATAAACTCCACATTAGGTTCCTGATGCACTGCTTCACATCCCCAGCTTTTGAGAATACATCTTGGTTTATTGAAATTATTAAAGGCATTAAGTCCAATTTTGCATAAATCAGACAAAAAGCTTTCAAATTTCTGCACTATCTTTGAGTTCCACTATTGCCCACAGACTGAGTTACTCTAAGTTACTCACATGTGTGTCAGGAGGGCAGAATACAACCCTGTGTCAACCTGATTTGGAGGTGACGCTGCTAATCTCTAAAATGTTAGTGTTCTGATGTGGTTTTCCCCTTTTTCTTACTCCCCACCTTTATTAAGTTCCTGCGTAAGAGCCAGAAGAGACAGTTTTGGAATGAGAAGCTGCTGCTTCACACTGCAGTATTTATGAGGACCAAGAACCATGCTACCAATCAGGAACCACGCATACACTTCTGTGATTTATAATTAAGGGACTCCAAATGCTATAGCTGTAAGAAAACTCTTATCAAAGGGTCTCAGTGACAGTGGTGATTAATTGCCATGGAGGCAATGCCATTTATTTCATTTACTTCATTTTTAAATAAATGGGGTGCAAAGGTTTCTTTTGTTGTCTCTCACCTGTGTGGACTCAGAAGGTCCAGAGCTGACCTGGACAGGGTTCAGGACACTGGGGATGCCAGGGATAGGTCTCTGGGTAGGAAACGTTGGAGCAGGATGGATGAGTGGAGGGCTGTGTCCAAAGGCCGAACCTAGGGTTTGCTGACGACTTATAATTTGCTGATGCATTTGCTGGAGGGATACCGGTGTAGGAGGGTATGTGAAACTCAAAGCAGGGCTGAATTTGGGAGAAAAAAAAAGGAAGATGGAGGAAAAAAATGAGGGTTATAACGTATGGAACCATATAGATTAAACGTTTCAAATATATTGGATATATTTACATTAACTGAACTCGGGTTCCTCCTTCCCTCCCACCTCATACCCTTCTTTCTGCTCCAAAAGACGATAAATTCTTAGTTTATATCCAGAGTTGGCCTGGATTTACTAGTGAGTGCAAAAATGCTATCATAACAAAACATAACATCTTTTCCTAACGTTTACCAGGAAACCACAGAAAGCCAACTGAAATAAAATTCAGAAAAACTGAAATAAAAGGCAAGCAGTTCAATAACAGCTATTTATTGCAATAACAAACTTTATATAAAGAAAAAGAATGGGCGCCTACATGCTTTATAGTACTTTTATTGATAATGCAGTTCCCCTATGTTCGCCTGTAGGAAGCAGTTCCTTTAATCTTCGCTCATGCTACGCTCTTTCATATGTCTCTAGATCTTATTACAAGAGGAGAGAAAATCAATTGGTTAAATGTGTTCTGAACACCATGCTTGTCATATCACTCATTTGTTTGCAAAGATGGAAAGCTCAGTTCATCCAGAATGTCACCTAAAGAATTTCCATCAGTGCTGTTTGGTTACAGAAACTGATGGATTAACCTTTCCCCTCTGAAATTGGTGATCAATGAGTTTCAATGTAGAAATATTCCAATGGGAAAGCACTTCTCCTTCTTCCAGTTAAACGACATTAAATGTCTATTAAAGCCCATTACGCATGTTAATACCTGTCATCACTTCATTACTTCACTGTATTTCCCAGACTACAGTGACTTTGGAAGAAATTACACTGCCATCTAAGGACCTATTCTGTGGGTACTGCCAGAGATTCTTTGTGTCACGCTTGCGAAATAAATGGCGTGGAACTAAATCTTCACACACAGGAATATGAGGTTCTACTGTAAACATTTGCCAATAACTTACAATCATAAAAGAAAGAAGAAAAAGTGTATTCATTTTTTTTTTCTTCAAAAAAACACCAACCAACCACAGTTGAAAAGAGCCATGCAGATTTGAAACATCAGGTTTTAAAAGAAAGGGGTGCGAGTATAATACCTCTTCATCATCAAGGCTTCTTCTGACGTCAAAAGCGTGGATTTAATCCAAATTTACAGTCTGAAGCCTTAATTGCTGTTGCTGTTAAGTGCATTAACTGAATATACTGTGATAAAAAGAGCTAAAATCATTTCAACCATTTTAAGTAGTAATTCTACAGGAATTCTGTGTTCGTTAATATGACTATACATTTTTGTCTGTTTGACTACAATCCATAAGGAGAGAGCTTCAATGTGATTACATTACTATTATTCCTGGTGAGAACTCTGCATGACAATAGTTTGCCCATTTAGGACAGAATATCATTAAGAATACCCTGGGAGAATTTTACTGGTCTTTGAGGAACTCTTTTCATTTTGCATTGTATTCTTTTTAATAAAGGCAGGCAGAAACATAGCGAAAACAGTAATTGTTCACAGCAAGAGTTAGGGAGAAATCAGTAATAATATTCAGTTACTGCAGCTCTACAGTCTTTGCTAGTGTTCCTGTAAGCAACCATGAATGATTACAGCACGACTTAGCTAAGGTAGCCACTATGGATGATTAATAGGACGTTAATCAAAAGATGCATATCAGGCCCAGAATTTGTTCACAAGCTTTCTTCTAATAGCCGATTTCATGTTCACTGAGCTCTATGCCTGTTTGTTCAATTTATTCTTCAGTGTACAAGCCATTCATCACAGAACATAATGATTTAACACCCCTTTTCCTTTTTAGTGAGCAAACATTACTAAGTGTAACTACTGTGGTCTGTTCATTAAAAAACATACAATTACAATGTCATACATGAGGCTGAAACTGCCTCCTTACGATACCCCCACATTTTTTGTTTCTATATATACACTGTGAGTTCATCTCATACACTTCAAACACTAGACGGCACCATCCTGAAGATGCTATCCAATCAACAACATGGAAACAATTTGGATGAAGTATTTTATTTCTCTGTGAGTGGTTAATACCTAGGACATCTTCACCCTTCAGCTGAATCAGTTTAATGATAAAATAATGATAAAGATAGAAATAAGATTTCATTGGGTTTTCCAAGCACACAGCACCCTTGCAAATACAGGTTGATGGTTTTTTTCCTTTCTAGGTGTTTCAGCATGCTCAACAATACCTAGCTTTGCAAGTCCAGGTTCAAAAGTTTGGTGTCTTCAGATCCTACATGATAAAACACCAAAAGTCAGTCACAAGACATGACTGACTTAATACCTTGGCTCAGATCCTGTCCATCACTGCTCTGTGACTATAGTTACATGAGCACCTGCACCTACATTTAATTCTTTAACCTATCCAAAGCAAGAGCACAGGAGATCCCTCCCAGACAGTTCAGGGGGCATATGAAGGAACTGCTGTGATTTGCATGTATTTTTGTCTCAGCAGAAGGCTGTTACAATGCCCCTGACTAGAGACTCTGGAGTTTGGATGCTGAAGGATGCTCAAGAACTTGGATCCTGAAGAAGAACCTTTGGTCCCAAGCAGGAAACAGACTGTAGGAGCCCCCAGAGGTGTATACACAACCTGCTCTTAATGCAGTGCACTTATATTTACTGGAGTTTGGCAATATTCTCCACTCAGTCCCTCCAAAGATGGGAAAGCGCTGCTATTCCCATCCAAAGATGGGAAAGCGCTTTCCTATTCCTATTCTGAATTCTCTACTGCAACACAAGAAGTGATGATGCCTCTTCAATGGCAAAATACTTTTCTAACTGAAGGACAAAAGCAGCTCTGCTTTAACAAACACAGAATCTAGTTTCACTGGCCTGCAGTGACATGCCTTATACCAGTACAGTGCGTATCCATAAATAAGTATACTTGCTGTTCCCCTCCTTATATAAATAAAAGCGTCTTCCATTGAAAGGACAGATTTATGTCCTTATCTACATCGGCTTTAACACCATTCTGTGCCTTCAGAAGGTGGATGGTAAGCCAGGCATTGCCAGATTCAGTCCACCTTGCAAGCAACACAAACTTGTAGGGTATAGCAGAGGAGACTGGAACCTTCACTAGTGGATCTTATTGGAAAACAATGACACCAGCAGCAGATGCCTTAAGGCACAGCTGGACAGATGTGCTAAAGAAAGGAGGAATCCATATTTCTTTAGTATCTTTTGTCTGCCCCGTACTCAGCAGCAAAGGTTGAGTCCGAGGTACTTGGATTTTCCTAGGGAGCCTGGCAACCTGCACTTCATTCCCTCTACCTCCAAATTTCAATCATCTCCAACTGCAATGAAAAGGAGATTGTGAGGGAACAGAGGAATAGCCAGAACAGCTATGGGGAGTACTCAGAAATGGTGACAATGATTCAGCCACTAGGGTGTCTTTTTAAATAGCTGATAGCTTCCTTCAAATAATACTCTCCAACTGTTTCTGGAGAGCTCTTCATAAAGCAAAATGACCTGGCTGGGTTCAACCCACGCAAGATGCCATCACAGGGCAACCCGGACAATTTTTCTGATCTGAAAAGATCAGAAGGATCTGAAAAGAACAGAAGGTGTCCTCCTCTGCCTTTCAGAAATAATTCAGGCTGCTTGACAATGAACTGGATGTTGTGGGCCAAAAAGAAGAAAAAGAAATCAAAGCTCGCCACATTGCTAGCATGGTGCGCTCTGTTGGGAAGGGGAGACTTCAATTCCTGCCCTCCTTCCCAAAGTTTTTAATGCATTTTGTTCAGTAACTAACTCTTGAATATAGGATGTGTGAAGAATCTCTGTAGTATAGTGACCCCTCAAACCACATGGGATTCTTCTCCCTTGACCAGCAGCCATACTCCCTCTTGATGGCCCCACCAAGCTCACACTGCTTTCTATACAGAAGGCCACCACAGAATCAACAAAATGGTTTGGGTTGGAAAGGACCTTAAAATCATCAAGTTCCAACCCCCCTGCCATGGGTAGGGACGTTTCACTCTAGACCATGTCACCCAAGGTTCTATCTAACTCAGCCTTGAACATTGCCAGGGATGGAGCATTTACCACTTCTTTGGGCAACCTCAGCAGGAAGGGTGGGCAGTGGCATCGCCTGGTCTTGCCCAACTGATACAGCCATGCCTGCTTAGAAACGTGCACCAGGATGGCACCGATGTCACCCAGGAACTCTAAAATTCATGCCCAAAGTCTGTAAGCAAGACCTGAAAGTAATCATTTGGAGTCCAGAATTACTAAAACCAACCACTGGGTTTTTCAAAAGCCATGAGTTGTTTCAGAGGCCTCAATTAACATCATGTTTCTTTCAAGATACCTTAAGGGGGCTGCATTTCAGACAAAGGGTGCTCAAGACTTCCAACCCAGATGCCAGAACATAAGATACCTGCTCCAATTGTTCATATTTCCCAAAACACAAGTCGCTTCCAAAAAATCTTGGATTCACAGCAGTGTAAGTGAATTATTAATCTTTTTCTTCCATCTACCTACTGAGAAATGAAAATCTACACCACTAGAGGGAATCTGATTTGTATTTCTGTTAGAGACATTTTTAAAAGACAAAGTAGAAAAGGAAAAAAAGATGAATGCATGTAAGACCACTAATAAACTACATGCAGGTTATCTTTTTAGTTGTTGAGTTTTATGGGGATAAGGGTTAGGAAAAGCATGTAATACTTCTGCTTAAGCATTCAATAACTCATATACACTGACAGAAAAGCCCATCAGTGGTATCGTTTATTTTTCCATACTGTGGACTTCTGTGTCTGTCAGTCTGTCTCTCTTCTCTTTCTCCCTTCTCCTCTGTGAAGTCTCAAACTCCCATCACCAGAGGTAAAGCAGGGCAGTGAACTACATTGCAATTACATGAGCACATCAAATTTTAAGGAACAGACTTCAAGAAGAAGAAAAACAGACGTTATAATCAAAACCAAACTTTGTGGCTACTTTGTGGCTGTCCTACTAAC